TTAGATTCCACCCATATGAGTTAGATTATGTGATACTTGTCTATCTCTGACTGGCTTATTTCACTTAGCATAATACTCTCTAGGTCCCTCCATGCTGTGTCAAAAAGCAAGAGGTCCTTTTTTACAGTTGCATAGTATTCCATGGTATAAATGTACCACAGTTTTTTCATCCACTCATCTACTGATGGGTACTTGGGCTGTTTCCAGATCTTAGCTATTGTAAATTATGCTGCTATGTACATAGGGGTGCATACATTCATCCTGATTGGTGTTTTGGGTCTCTTAGGACATATTCCTAGACGTGGGATCACTGGGTCCACCTATTTTTTTTTCTTTTTGGTTTTCTGATTGAGTGATTTTCTTTTTCTACCCTGTCTTCTAATTCACTAATCTGATTCTTGGCTTCCCTTAACTTGCTATGTATTCCTTCCACTGTGTTCTTTATTAGTGCTAAGTCATTCTTCATAGTTATTATATCTTTTCTCATGCTTTTGAGCATCTTTGCCATCATTATTCTGAATTCTTTATCTCAAATTTCCTATCTCCATTTCATTTAGTTCTTCTTCTGGAGAATTTTCTTGTTTTTTTGTTTGGGGCTTATTTTTTTTTTCTTGTTGCCCCATTTTGGCTGCCTGTTTGAATTTGTGTCTATATACTAGGTAGATCTGCTACACCTCCCAATTTCTAGTGCAGGTCAGTGTCAGACGCTGTTCCCAACTGGCCTTGAGTACTCTGTTTGGAGCTATCGGCAATCCACAGAGTGTGACTCCTTCTGCTGGGACTGAGTGCCTTTGGAAAAGACCAAGATGTGCACTGAGGTTTGCTTTTCCTAGGCCCGGGCCATGAATTATATCAGACAAAGACTCAAAGCCTCCAGAGACCTGCTTCTGCCAGCAGTCTGTTTGTATTCAGTGTTGATTAGCCTCTCAACCACAGTGTGGGGTGAGAGGTTTTCCAACAGGGTGGGGCAATTGCTTCTGCCTGCAGGCTGATCATTATTCTCAGTCTCTTAATGGGCCTCAGAAACTACACAGGGTGGGCAAGGGGTTTCCCAATAGGGTGGGGCAACTGCCTTTTCTCCAAAAACTGCCTGGGTAGCAAAGATCTGTCTGAGAAAGTTGTCCTCTGCAGCATGAGGGAATGACTCAGCACAGGAAACCAGGGTGACTGCCTTTCAAGGTCTAACCCCAGAGCCTCCAACCCTGGCTTCTGCTCACCCAACTCCAGTTCACTCTGCCCTCCCTCTACTGGAGCCCAAGGTGATTGGCTGCACATGAAATTTTGTGTGAAGGCCCTTTTAGAGGGTGCCTGCATTTCTAGCCATCTCTCCCTGGCAGATAGCAACCCTGCTGCTTTTCACAGCCAGATGTTATGTGGGCACCTTTCTCAGTTCTGGTGCTCTGGGCTTGGGAGCCCAGCTTGGGGTTTAGATGCTAGAGTTCTCAGTGGGAACCCCCCACAGTTGAGATATCCCTTCAGAACTTCAGGTGCTGTCTGTGGGAGCCCGGCCAGCCCTTTTGCACCTCCGCACTTTCTACTATTCTCTATGCAGTTTTCACTTTCCATTCTTGGTTTTCAGTTTCTCTCCAGCTAGTCTTCAGTTGATTATTCAGGATGGTTTTTCTGTAGTTTAGTTGTAAGTCCAGTTTGGTCCTGGGAGCATGTCAATGTAGCTTGCACTTATTCCATCGCCATTTTGGTATCCAGCACTTTATTCTTATTAATATTCTGGTTCTATAGGAATCTAAAGAGGAAATGCTTATAATAACCTCACGAGTTAAGTTTTTCATTCTATTTGAAAACTGCTAATTTATTCTTATTCTAAAATGTTTTGTCTTACATGATCTTTTAAAGTCCTATAGGATTTTGCTTGTCTTTCTGATTGAAATCCATAGTTACTTCCCCAAAATTTACTTTTTAAACTTGTTTAGATTATTAATGTAGTGGGTTTTGGTTGGCTAACTAAATTACTCATTCTTAGCCAGACCAGTCATTTATATCAGGGTGTGGTTTTTTACTTCCAGTTTTTTTTATATAAAATTAAGAGAAAACGTGACTTTCTTTGATGCATTAGGAAAAACTCTTTTTTCCATTTCTCTTTTTTAAAATTAGTTTGCCAAATAATTGCCTATATGAAAATATAATCTGTAAGATCATGCTGTTTATT